TAAATTCAGTGCACACAGACTGAAGTAGTTTATTTAATACACGAGTTTCACAATTTGAGTTGAATTACTAAAATAAAGGAACTTTTCCACGACATTCTAATTTATTGAGATGCACCTGTATGTCCTTCTTCTTTGCTTTGGTAATAATACAGTCACTTGAAAAAAAAAATTAAAAATCAAACAAAAAAAGCCACCATGGCAAAGAATGGGCTGGAAAGAGCTAGTTACTGCACTCCACCCAAATATACTAAAAACAATGCATAATTCAAGTGTAAGTTGGTTATTTGTATTACATGAAAATTCAGTCAGTGAACAATGCAAGCTAAATAAATGAGTCTTGGTTCATTTTAATTTAACTAAGACATGAATCAAGTTCGACTAGACATAAAGAGCAAATTTCACCAAACGGCACAATGCTAGTCCCCATTAAATTTGTCTAGATAATTAAAATAATTTTAGTTTTTCAACAGCAAATCTACAACCTGTACTGCAGAGTTCAGAAACAACTACTCAGTCACGCGGCACATGTGCAAAACTTAGTTTATTTACAAAACAAATGACACAGTTGTGACAGTAAACGTTTATACAGCTCAGGTGTTCTGCCAACACAACCTAGAGAACCCAGCGAAGAGCTCAACACACTCCTCAGTGTGGGCAAACAAACGCCACCCGACAGAAACTGACAGTTTTAAGGTCGTTTTCATAATTAACAAGTAGGAGGCAAACAGCAAATCTCAACGACAAACTTTAAGAGCGCTTGGATTTTCTTCAGCTCAATCAGCTAACGTCTACGAGGCCTTTTGCTTCTTCTAAGAGGCACAGTTTTGGCAGAAGAGGTGGATGTGATTATTTCAAGTCCAGTCCATGTTATCTACTCATGCAGGTCTTATTTCAAGACAAGCACAGAACAAAGATGATCAAAAAGTGATGGAAAAAAAGTGTAAAACCCTAAAATAATGCTGGTCTGACTTATAGAGCCAGATTCCCATGTTTAAACCTTGGCATCAATACATCGGACTGTACGGCTAGATCCAAGTGCGATGGTAGCAGCAGTACATATACCCTTACTTCTCAAAACATTATATTGAGAGCGTTTCTACAGGCAGAAGACAAAGAGAGAGTCAGAAAAGACAGCAAAAGAAAGACAAAACGATTAAGGCTGAGGTAACACAATGGAGACAGCAGGAATGGCACAGAAGTCCACGCTCGCATTAGAAGGCGAGTTTGCTGGCCACCAGAGACTGTTTCCGCTGTGGCAGGTCCTGAGGGGTGGGAATGTGGTCTCCGGTGATCTCCGTCTTCTCCGCCGCTGCTGTCGGGAGCTGCTTGTTCTTCATCTTGGCTTTGGCCATGTTATAGTCGCCCGAGTCGAAGTATTTTTGCTGCTAGGAATAACAACATCATTATTGGCAATTAATGAGCTCGATTTGAAAATTTCCTTTCAGAAACATACCCCTTTTTGAAGTCTTTTTCGCAAAAGATCTGACCCCCCGGGCCTGGTCCCGAGATGGGGGTATCGGGCCTTCAGTTTGACCTCCTCAGCTTTTTCTGGACTTACAACAGTGTCCTGCATCTCCTACATTAAACGTGGGATGAAATCCATGTCAAAACACTAATTCTTAAGCAACAGGAAGCAGATTGATAGTCTTTTCCCACAAATTATGTCAAATTATTAAGTTACAACAGCTACATTGAACCAAGCAATATATAATGAATTTGACAACTTAATTTCCCCCTCAAAAGTTATAATCAGCATATATTATACATAAAATAAAACTATTTACAGTTCTATTATATATACACTTTAGAGCTAAATACGATTTCAGCATGCAGCCTGTGAAAACTGTTCTACAAACACAAACATTGTTTAAAAAGTCTATTAAAAAATAACTTAAGTAGAGCGGTTGTTTTATATGGTCTAGCAGCTAGAAACCCGACAGATATATGTATGTTTTATTATTTTTACATGAAGTTAAAATGAATCAATACAATCACATTGTCAGATGCGGAATGGCCGCATACAAAACGTGTTTGAATAAAGCAAACCTGCTGCTCCTCCGTGCTCGCCTGCACTTCACCGGACATCTGGACAAATTAAATGCAACAAAAAGAAAAAAGAAAACAAAAGACAAAAAATGGGACACTCTTTATTCGCCCTCACAGAGCCGTCAGGCGAGATCGTTAACTGACCGTCTGCCGCTGTCTTGAAAATCCTAAATGTTCTTCCTCGAGAGAAACAGGGCGCGGCTCACACACTCACTACAGCGCCGCCCCGCGGACTGGAGGAGAACAGCGGCATTATGAAAAATACCTTTTGTTTCATATATATATAATGATTATTTTATTATATATTTATAACTTATGCAATAAATGTAGAATTTTGAAATGAGTTTATTGAACCATTAGACAAAATATTTAAAACCAACTTAAAAATGATATACATATATATATATATATATATATATATATATATATGTGTATATCATTTATATTATGGTTTTAAATCTTTTATCTAATGGCTGTAAAAACACATTACAATA